CCTGAGTGATGGAAGTTCAAGCGATGATACAGCTTTTGTTTTTATTCACAATTTTGTTTAGCAGTAAGTTCCAGGCTTTCTCTCTTAAAATAAATTATAGCTATAAGGATCTATTCGACTATGGAATGTTCGAAATATTCTGGAGCTGTTTAATTTGCCTGACCTTTTGGCACTTGCCCGGCGAATATATGTATTTGGACTCAAATTAAGGCCCGTTCTTAAAAAACTGAGACAAGAGCGGTATTCAAGCATCTTGTGACGGCTTATGACCGGGAGCGCAGTAATGCAACCGGCTCTAAGCAGTCACAAGTGGTTTAAAAACCGCTGTTGTCCGAGTCGGTCGTAGCCAAACGCAAATCGGTGGACGGACCCTTAAGCTTGCCGTTAATAACTAAAGGAGTAATTCGAAGCGTGCGATTTTTCGCCTTGTCTGCACTGGTGCTAGATTCTTTGAGCACAGAAATTTTGTTGGAGGTGCCATCATCTTGGAATTGGAATGAAGAAAGCGAATAATATGTTTTTTCCTGATAATTTTTGGTTTATTTAGAAATATTCCAATAAAGCCTTAGTTTAGAATGAACAAATCCACTGTGATTGAAACGATGCTATTATACATTCATAAATCCATAAAGGCGACATTTTTTTTAGTTTTTTTTTTTACGAAATTATTTAAACTTGTTTCATACGTTAAATAAAAGGAATAGAAAAAACGAGGAGCAACCTATTTAAGGCTGGTTGACGCACTTGCGTCGAGTGTGACTGCAACGGCCTGCGACGTTAATCATTTTACAAATTGCTATGGAACGGTGTTTTAAGCCGCTTACAACCACCATTGATGCTGCGTGGCACGGTCGTGAGAGGCTTAAAAACTGGTTACCGTCGCTATGGGGCCTACTCAACACAAGTGTGTGAAGGCCCGTTCACACTCTTGCGACCTTTTAGAACTGGGTGCCTTGAAACCTCTTACAACGTATGTATGTATGTATGTATTGTATGTATGTATTTATGCGGCGCTTAAGCTCTTTGCAACGAGCGTCTGCAAAACAAACACCCCCCCCCCCCCCCCCCCCCCCCCTTTTCAAGAAGAAAAAAAAAAGAAAAAATATATTGGAGTATTGTTGCTGCTGACGAGAGGACACACTGGCGCCATCTATTGGGTAGCAGTGTAAACTTGGTGGTCCGGCATGCTTTCTATTTCTCTCGCGCATTATTCTTTCTTTCTTGGCTTGAAAAACTTTTGTCAACGTTATAAACGAGCCTTTTTGTTATAGGTATTGCGCACATTTTTAACTGCGGAAATCCCGCAAAACCTTCGCTTTTGTGATTTGCAGTTCCAGGGTCACCGCATAGATGGCGCCAGAATGCCAGTGTGTTCCCTCGTCCTAAGAAATTTGAAGAGGTTTCAACAGGCCTCGTTTCTCTCGCCCGTACTCGGTTTGCAACAGTGAACGGGCCTTGAGTCGCCCTTTTGTGTCTGTCGTCGCGGAATAAGTTCGAGACCAGCCGGAATGACAGTATTTTGGCAGTGCTACACCAGGGACAGATTTACGGGCAGGCTGGGGGGCGGTGGTCGCTAGGCATTCGGCTGGCGGGGGGGGGGGGGGGGGGGGGGGGAGGGGGGGAGGAAGGAGGGAGGGGAGGGGAGGGGAGGGCAGGGAGGGGGGGAGGGGGGCGAAATAGTGTTGAGTAGGACGTTACTGCCGAAACGTTTCCCAGATCTATTTTGTTGACTCAATATTTGCTCTCACGAAAGGTTAAACTTACAGCTCGTGTATGTCAATTCTTTAATTAAATTAAACTTGACCTTGGGGGCCTAAGAGAAGCGGTAACCCCCCCTCCCCCACCGTCCCCACTCTCAAACTCCGCCCCTGTGCTAGAGATTTAAGCAAAATTTCACGCAAGTAAGCACTTGCCTGTGTCTCGCTCGAGCCATGCACATGTGATCTCAGTTTCTAGGGACAGACATTTGGAGGTTGTACTCGAGCGTGCTCTCGTTATATCGGATGCTGAAATAAATGTGCCTGACTCTCGCGCGTTCTTAGACGTCATGTGGGGGCACGGACACCGTCGGGGCGAGATTTCGAACGAACCGTCTCACGACGCTGCCGAAAGGTGGGGCAGGCGATAATTCTCCCAAGGTTGATGTACCACCGTACACCGGCGGAGTGGGAGTGTAGCTGGTTCAAGTGCTTCGTTACACACGCGGCCAATGTGCTGAGCTAACGACTTTGCAGCGGTCAGGCTGAAGCGGCGGTGAGGCAGAACTCTTTTTCAGCCAGGACACCCGAGACCGGAATCAATTAGCGACTACGCCGAAGCTCGAACTTGGTCTTTTGCCGAGGCATGTTTGACTCCGGCTCGTCGATCGTTCTTGGACGAGGAAGGGGTCCTCTACGGCATCTGGACGCCTGGGGTCGCTGTAGCTCATCGGGCTGCGTGCTTGGGCCCTCTGTGACGTGTGATACGTGCACCTGCGAACTTTACGACCGGGAGAGAGTGTGGAGGGACGGACTGCAGCGCGATGGACGAATGAGAGAACAGCACAGGGGAAAAAGAGGGTCAGCGAGAATTCTCGAGTGTTGTTTTTAACCGAAGGGAAAAGGCGAAGATGGAGAGATGGAGATATCTGACACGGCATCCGGACTCTTTTTTGGTTGGAGTCCATATACCTCCAACCTCTTCATTAGACAAACGTATTGACCAACACGTTGTGATGTTGCTGAAGGAGATCAGAGTCCGGAGCTACCATCAGGACATCTGGAATTGGAGCACCCGGCGGGAGGAACCTATCTTGACAATACGCGATGACAAATTATATAACGGGAACTATGACTAGGCTAATTGACAACTAATTAACGGAGGGCAAGCCCTACCGAAAATCGCAGTTTAACTTTTTGTTATCTGGATTATGGAACTGGAAACTATCTGAATTATATCTGGACTTCGGTTTTCAGAAATTATTCTCTAGCCTGCATGATGGATTTCAGGTCTACAAGAACAATTCCAGTTAGATTTTCAGTTCTACAATCCAAGTAGCATACGTTTTTTTTTTTTTTTTTTTTTTTTTTTTGGGGGGGGGGGGGGGGGGGTAGGGAGGTTTATTATAATCACGCTTCTGGCCTAGTGATTGTTCTCAGGCGTTCTTACAGGCGTTCGCAATCTTATGCGGAGCGAAAATTCTTTTGCTTCTGGCGCAGGTGTTTCCCTGACGTCAGAACGCCACCTGCGATTGGCTCCGATGAGAGCGATAGTGGGTAGCCCTCGAGGTTAACTGCCCTGAGGTCTGCCCACTGTCTTTCCAATCGGAGCCATTCAAAGCTCGAAGTTCTGCCGTCACCTCAATCTCTGCGAAAGAAGCAGGCGAACTTGCAATGCGCATTGTCTACGGAGCCGAATGAGGGTTCTCGGGACTCAGTGCACCTTGCGCCCCCTTAGCTTTAAAGGGTAACTGCGCAAGAAAAAAATAAGTGTTTTTTTTAAACAGCCTAATTAGGACAAGCATGTAAAAAAAACAAATGTTTGGAGAAAAAAATTAGCTATATTTACGCTATACGACGTAATTTAGTCCGAGTCCGAAACTCTCCACATTTGCAACTTCCGCTCTTTCGACCCCCGTGGAGGAGAAGTACGCCCCGCCCCTCACTCTTGGATTTGCTCTTGGGTTGACAGTGGCTGCGGAGGTGAACGACGCAGCGTCTCGACTTCCGGTAAGATCTGGCAACAACGCACGTTAAACATGGCGCCGGTATTGTTTTGGTCTGCCGGGACACGAGAAGCTGCGCGGTTTGAGAGTACATAGCGAAGACGTAACCGGAGAGGTGCCGCTGTGATGTTCCCGGAAGACGGAAAGTATCATTCGTAATCGTCGTGTGTGCTTTGAAAGCGAAGGGAGTCACAGGGTCCACGAGTGCGCAACCACAAGCCAAGGTTCACGACAGCGCTGCGTTGACTTCGGCGATCTCGTTCTGTTTGGTGCAACATAGCGATGCGACAGAGAACTGAAACATTCGTGGTGTGTGTGGTACGGTGCTTCGAAGTAGGCCCCACACTCCTTTCGGGGCGACATGGCTGCTGGAAGGCTCGCTGTCGGGATCACTCATCTGACATCTCCGAAAAGTCGGCATTTATACGCGCAAGCCCCCCCTCCCCCCTCCATATTAAAAAAAGAAAAAGCACGCTAAGCAAGCAAAGAGGAAAACGAAAGAACCGCGCTATGAAAGCCAAGATCCCGCGTCGCTTCGTATCACTAACACCTGTGACAGCTGCTAAGCACACACTACTTCACTTCAAGAAGTCTCACTCAAGCACCTGGGTTAGCACGAAACACTGATCACTTCGGCGAAACGACTAGTCGAGGTAGGCGAGACAGGCGGGAGCAGGGACTTCGGCGGCCATGAAAGAATGGCGAAGCTTTTGCTTTGTTATGGTATTAATCCAAACGGAAGTGCCCGTCTTGTAAACCTTTTGTAAATAATAATAACTCTCATCCCAGGGGGTATTCTTTTAATGTAAAAATATGCCGCTCAAAAGGAAATTAGAACATATAACAAAGGTTTAACAACACAGACCTAAGCTGTCGATCAATCTCTTAGCCAATGAGAAGTATAGCGGCCATTCGGTGCTAGACGTCACGGAACACCAACTTTGTGAGGCGCGATTTGAAACGGACGAAATAGCCGCAAACTAAAATCAGCCTCACGCAATAAATATTGCTGTAAATTTTTTTTTCTCGCGGAAAAATTATTTTTTTGACATGCTTGTCCAAATTAGGCAGTTTAAAAAAAACATTTTTTTTCTTTGCAGTTACCCTTTAAGTGATAATAAAAAGACTGAGTGATGTTCTAAACGTGAAAACAAACCTGACAAACAAATAAACCACATAAATAAAATACTGAAGAGGAAATCATACAACAAAACGACGGGAAACGCTTGAGACGCGATTTCGACCGTCTATAGAACCACCCGCCTTTTTCTCCGACGCCCTTGGAAAACCGAGAAAAAAAAAGCAACAATGCATTAGTTCAATTCAAATGACGATACTGGAAACAGAACACCATACCACCGGATGTCGTCCGCGCTTCCGCATGCGATCGTTTTCCGCATGGACAACGAAAAAAAAAAAAAACAGCATGCTCACACACACGTACAAAAACCCTCCTTCATTACTTTAAGATTCCCGGACTCGTCTTCCTGACGAGTTAGTAAGAGCACACGGCGGCATATTGGAGAATAAATCAATACGGCCAAGTACCGAGTAAGCAAAAACGGCTGCGGCAGCAACAGTCGAACAAGCAGAATCCGACTCCACGGGCCGAGGCAGCAGCGTACGTCCATTTGCTCCAGTGTGTATATATGGGCGAGGGACATCCTAGAAGGCCACGTATACGCGGCCCTATAATAATTGCTAGAGGGAGGACGGTGGGAGAAGCAAGAGGGAGGGAGGGAGGTGCTTTCGTTGCGGAGCGCTTGGCTGCTCGGATTCCGCGATATTGCCGGTTGAAGAACCGGAAGGAGCACCGCTAGAAATAAATCGACAGACAAGATTGAAGAAAAGAAAAGTAAAAAAGAAAGATATAACATATACGCCTCCAGAAAACGTTACGTACGTAGCCTTTTTTTCCCCCTTTTTTCTGCCTCATATATCCTCATCATTCCCATTTCCCGCTATTTTCCCGTTTCCCGAAGCGTCTTGGCGAGACATTGCGAGATTTCCGAGCGTAGGGACAGATGTGGCCTGTGCGTTGAGCGTAATGTATTCTCGAAAACACAAATCATTGAGACCGCGAAGAAAAAAGAACAAAAAGAATTGCGACATTTAGGTTAAGGACGAACAAGTACGAAAAGAAAATACTGCGGCTGTTCACTTATTGCTTTAGTTCACGATAAGCATAACAATACCTGCAGTAGTGAAATCACAGCCAAATATCTCGGATATACGACGCAAAGGTACCAAATAGTTCTCTCTCTCTCTCTTTCTTTGCCTCTATCTATCCATCTAACTTCTTTTTATCTTTTCAGGCTTGTGTCGCCGCTATACCGAAGGGAAGTTTCTGGGTTATTGCTTTGGGGAGGCAAGAGAAGGGAAATGGTTTGTAGCATGTAAAAAAGAAAGGTTACCTTGGGAAAGAGAATTAAGAAAAAAGATAAAACTATCCTGAAAGGTTGAATGAATCAAAACATAGAGTCGAAAAAATTGAGGAAGTTGGATATGTTGAAGAAAACAAGGAATATAAGGAATAGTGGAATATATCAACGTCGCTTTTCAGGTACGATGCTCGCTTGGCAGGATCGGTTGTCAAGATGGATTTCTGGAATACCTAGTCGCGAACACGCGCGCTCGAGCGCTGTTTTTATTTTGTTGTTGTCTTATAGTAGATTAGTTTTGTGTGCGTGTGGCTTATGAAGACCTCTATAATTAGAATCGATGAAAAAGAAATAGCATGTGGTTGCCCCGTAATAAAAAAGTTAAAACATATATTTTTACAGGAAATAAATCCGGCTTTTTCTTTGAGTAACTCTCGTAGACTAAAAATGGGGCTAGGCAATACGTGTTCCGTAATGACTTTTTTGGCTATTTTTCATACATAAAAAGAAGAAAGACGCGACCGTGTTGCTTCTATAATATATATTTGTGCTATGTTAAATGTATACCGAAGCAAAGCCTTCGCCCTGCAGTAATGATGTTAGGATGTTCAAAGCCCTGACGTTTATCTAGTGCCAATGGATCAGACCTTCTTCCAACCTGTGTACAGTGGCCCAATTTTTTCATCATACCAAGCGAGCGTCGACCGCCGGGATGGCCAGCGCTGTGTCGCGGAGAAATGCGGCGTAACGGGAAAGATGAGGCGCGTCCGCACAAAGCTCTTTCCGGTGCGAGCGTCGTCTGATAGGCTATTTCGTTGACGCACACAGCCCCTGTTCATTATCTGCTGGCATAGCTAACCGCCTTTAAGCAAAGATCTGAACAGCGCTTGCTTGCGTGATACTGCTCAGGCGTGGCAAAAACCGCGCCTCATCTCAGGTTTAATTTACTTTTTTTTTTTTCATTTCATCTTTGAGTTTACATTTCTGAACACCAACAAAAATGAAAAATACGGTGACGCGACAAACTG